CATCCATCCATCCATCCATCCATCCATCCATCCATCCATCCATCCATCCATCCATCCATCCATCCATCCATCCATCCATCCATCCATCCATCCATCCATCCATCCATCCATCCATCCATCCATCCATCCATCCATCCATCCATCCATCCATCCATCCATCCATCCATCCATCCATCCATCCATCCATCCATCCATCCATCCATCCATCCATCCATCCATCCATCCATCCATCCATCCATCCATCCATCCATCCATCCATCCATCCATCCATCCATCCATCCATCCATCCATCCATCCATCCATCCATCCATCCATCCATCCATCCATCCATCCATCCATCCATCCATCCATCCATCCATCCATCCATCCATCCATCCATCCATCCATCCATCCATCCATCCATCCATCCATCCATCCATCCATCCATCCATCCATCCATCCATCCATCCATCCATCCATCCATCCATCCATCCATCCATCCATCCATCCATCCATCCATCCATCCATCCATCCATCCATCCATCCATCCATCCATCCATCCATCCATCCATCCATCCATCCATCCATCTATCCATCCATCCATCCATCCATCCATTCATCCATCCATCCATCTATCCATCCATCCATCCATCCATTCATCCATTATCGATCCATCCATCTATCCATCCATCCATCCACTGATTCATTATTTCTTCCATCTACCCTGTGTCAGGCATTCTGCTTTTTCTTTGTAACATGGGAGTTATAACAACTGCCCTGCCTACCTCATAAGGTTGTTGTGAGTGTCCCATTAATGGGGTTACAGTAAATGAGAATCCTTTGTGAGGCTGAAACTAGGCTCCCTAGATTAAAAATCTGGCTGTGATATTTAATTTTTTGACTTTGGGTATGCTATATATTATCTTATGCCTCATTTTCTTACCTGTGGAATGGGGATAATAATAATTCCTACTTCATATATTGCTTGTCCCATAGAAATTACTAAATGAGTGTTAGTTGTTGTCATCTGTAAGTGGCAGAGCAGTCCACTAGCATAACCAATGCAGAGAACACTAGATACAATAAGGGTATAAATGGTCATGCTCAAGAACCTTCTTTATTATTGTATTATTGGCTTTTGTTTGGTCCATAACTGATAGAAATATATAGGAGAATCACTTAGACAGATGGGATCTCCCAGTTGGTGGAGACTTTACTGTAGTTAACAGTGTATTTTAACAGAGACACACTGCAGCCTGCAGGAGTGAGAAGAGTCTGGCAGACAAACTCCTTCAGGATCTCGCTCTGTCACCTGCCTCCGGGCACCCTCACTGTGCCCCTGCCGTCACCACCAGCTCTGCCCCAGGGCAGAAATGAGAACAATGGGGAGGTTTTAGGGAAGGAGTGTAAGCTCACATGGCTGGTTCCCAAGGGGCTGGCTGCGCTTCGAGGATTCAGTCCACCCAGACTCACACCATGTGTGAGGGGCCTGGGGCTGCTGTACAAAGTAGCACAAACTGGGTGGCTGAAAATGAGAGAAAGTTATCTATCCTCTCACAGTTCTAGGGGCGGAAGTCTGGAACAAAGGTGTTGGCAGGGCCCTGTAGGGGAGCACCCCACCTTGCTTCCTCCAGCTCCCGCGGGTGGTGGCCATTTTTTGTCATTCCCTAGCTTGTGGCTGCATCACCCCAGTCTCTGCCTCCGTCTTCACACGGCCTCATCCTTGTGAACCTTTGTGTTTACAGAGCCTTCTTCTTATGAGGATACTAGTCATACTGGGTTAGGGGCCTGTCCTACTTCAGTAGGACCTCATCTTAAACGATTACACCTACGGTGACCCTATTTCCAAAGAAGGTCACATTCTGTAGTACCAGGGATTGGGAGTTCAATATCTTTTGGGGGAAACACAGTTCGACACATAACATTGTACTGGAAACTTAAGGAAGAATCCAACGGGGCATCTTCCCTGAATGTGTGCTGCCCGCGAGTAGTACAGCAGCACCCTATGTTCTGCATTTAGCTTCTCGAAAACTCCATGGCCATTGCTTTACTAGATGGCCACTGTGCAAAGAGGTGGAGAAAGTTTGAGGCTAATGCCCATGTCATATGCAGGTGTTCTAGCAGGAAGGGTCCAGAACAATTACTAAGCCACTCAGAAGTGAGGAAGTGGGGGATGGCCAGATAGCAGCTGAGCTAGAACCAGACTGCAGGGCAAGGACTGTTTTCACTGTACATGGTTATGCGTGTGCTAGAAGGTTCCTTATCTATTTCCCTCACTGGGGTTATGTCCCTTTTTACTAAAGCAGTAACAGTTCATTGTCTTTGCAATCATTCCCGTTTCCCCTGCATAATGAGCTGACACATGGCCTGACTGTGCGTGACCCACACACAGCTCGTGCCACATGAGTGGAGCCTCGCCTGAGCAGGTGGATATTCTGTTCAACAGGACACATCACTGATGGCACGTGCCAAATTTCAATAAACAACTCTGAGTGCCTCCTCTCCATCTCTAACTTATCTCACTGTGGAATGGTAACCATCCCTGGACAATGGCAACCCCTTAGCGAGCAGCACTGGCCTGTGGACCCCACTCTGAGTAGCCCTAATTTAGTGGGTCAGTTGGGAACATTCAGCTGCAGGTAACAGAAACCCAGCTGCAGAGGCAGCAACCGAATAGGTATTTATTTTTCTCTGGGGCCAACACTCTGGGGCTGGTTCCAGGCTCCATGGTGCCAGCAGGGGTCAGTCTCCTTCTGTCTTTCTGCTCCAGTGTCCTTGGTGTGGGTAGCCCCACTTGCACTGGCAAGACAGCCCCTCACTCAAGGCCCGGGAGGAAAATGAAGGCCCCCCATGATGGTGCCCTCCTCCTGCAGAGGCTGGATTTAGGGCCAGGAGTTTTCCAGGGAAGCTGACCACACAGGGTCTGAGTGCCCTGGGTTCCTTGGGAGGTGGCAGCTGCTCCAGCTGGGGCTGGTTCCCTGTCCCGGTGCATGCCTATTTCTGGAGGAGGGCATTGTCTGCTTCTAGCTGGCTCACCATGCAGGCACCCTGGAGGGAACCCCCAGCGCAGTTGCCAGACAACTCAGCTGACTGCTCTGTACTATGCTCTGGGAGACCCAGAGCAGCGTCCACTTTGGGCAGACTGCCTGGAAATCAGCACAGGAAGGGATAGGGTCTCAAGTGGCTCTGGGCACCCAGGAAGGCTGTTTGCTAACCAGACCTTCCCAGTATGCCAGAGGTGGACCCTTGTGATGGAGAGGGATAGAGGGGGAAGAACGTGCGGGATGTGGCAGTGACCCTGCTATTGACTCCTTTACGGCCTGCTCCATGGGGCAGGAGCCTCCGTCATGGCAGGTGGTCAAGCCTCTCCCCTGGAGTGATGGCGGTCAGGCCAGAGGGCTGGCTGGTGGCTTCCATCTTTCCCAGGCAGTGAGGTTTTCTCAAGTGTTCCTTCTTCCTTTCTTTCCTTCTTTCTTTCTTTCCAGCCAGCTGGTATGGGGATCCAAACCCTTGACCTTGGTGTTATCAGCATCATGCTCTCCCACGTGAGCTAGCCAGTCAGCCCATATTTTTTTAATTGAGGTGAAATTCACATAATATAACATGCTGTGGGTAATGGCACTGTGAGCATCCGTGTACAGGTTAACCATGTTAAAGTAGACCGTTCGGTAGCATTTAGCACATTGACAATGTTGTATGTCCACCACCTCTATGTAGCTTCAAAACACTTTCATCACCCAGAAACAACTTTGTACCCTTTAGTGGTCACTCCCCATCCCCCTTCCTGCAGTCCCTGGAAACCACCAATCTGCTTGCTATCTCTGATTTTACCTATTCTGCGTAATTCATATAAACAGGGTCATATTATGTGTGGCCCTTTGTGACTGGCTTCTTTCACTCAGTGATGTTTCCAAAATGTGTCCGTGCTGTAGCCTGTATAAGGGCTTGATTCCTCTTTATGGCTGCATAGTATTCCACAGTATGGCTAGACCACAATTTGTGTATCCGTTCATCTGTGACGGATGTTTGAGTTGTTTCCACCTTTTAGCCGTTGTGAATAATGAAGCTATGAACATTTGTGTACAGGTAACTATCTGAGTACCTGTTTCCATCTCTTTGGGGTCTTCCCTCTCCTGTGTTTTTATCACTCCTCCGTGTGGATATGTGCAGGCCCAGCCCAGGTCTCCATGCAGGAATGTGGCTGGGCTCTCCCACTCCACCGAGAAGGACTCATTGCTCCCACACGATCCACCCTCTTGGCCAAAGCTCATCCCAGGACACTGGGCAGGCTGAGCTGTCCTTATTGCTGTGCTCTCCTGGGCTGTGCACACCTGCCTTGTCATCTCTGGTCACCCGCAGGTGTACGGCACACACTTCCGTGTTGCTTCGGGTCAGTCAAATCCAGATAATGAGTTTGGAAGCAGTGAGCACAGATGGCCCAGTTCATGGGCACGGCTCCTCCTGGTTTGGGCTGACCTCTCCCCATGTGCCTGTCTCGTCCCCTGCAGGTGCACGTGCAGATGCAGGACCTGGCCTGGGAGTCAGCTACATCATCCCCACCGTTGTGGCCGTCTTCGCTGCAGTGGTGGGGACAGCCACACTTCTCATCCTGCGCTACTGGAGAATGAACGGAAAATACAATTTCAAAATCCAGTCTGACGACGTCAGCTACTGGCCATTCCAGGAACAGGACGTGCCGGCTGCTGGAAGGTGGGTGAGCGGTGGGCTGTGGCAAAGGGCAGATTCATGCGTGTTAACATTTTGTGGACCCTGTTGGAGGTGCATCCCCCTCCTGAGACAGCAGGAAGGAGTGGACAAAGAGGGGGAAGTGGACGATTAGCAGCTCGATGGTAGCGATCCACCAGTTTATGCCACTGCTGGCCCATGGACAAGAGGCAGCACCACAGGGCTGAGAGCAGGCCCCCGCCTGCCTCAGATCCCCAGGCTGCCACCCACTCAGTACCTCGGAGTCCTCATTTGTGAAAGAAAGTGTGCAATAACAGTCCCATCTGCATAGATGGGTGTGGAAATCCAACAAGGAAATGCACCAGAGGACCTTCCATGGTGCCTGGTGTGCCTGCATGAGGGATAGCCTGATGCTGGTTCTTGGCCATGTGACCCGAGAGGTTTTTGCTCGCTGGTTCGGCACCCGTGTCACGGGTGCTGTGATGGGTCTACCACTCACCACGCTGACCTTGCCAGCATGAATGATGCAAATGTTTGGACCTTTGAGTGTGAAGATGCTTTTCTGATCTATCACACAGACCTTTTTTACTGGGAGATTCTGAACACAGTCTCCCACAAGTGAATGACATACATTTTGGGGTGCAGTATTGTTAGTGTGAACCTTTAGTGGGAAACACCACAACTGGCATTTCATGGGCCACGTTTGACAGCATCATGTGATCAGTGCCTCCAGATGCTTTCGGAGGTGCTGCGTGCTCAGGAACGTGACCGAGCGCCTGGGATGGACTCTGAGCTGGGACCACATTGAGGAAGGGACTCATTTGCCCAGAGGCCCAGTCCTGCCACACTGGCCTCACTGTTCTGGCCTGAGATGAACAACTGCCTGGCTCCCTTCCCACAGCCAGTCCTTTCTCTTCATATTCTGTTAGCTGTGGAGGTTTCAAATTGGGAGAGATTTTTATCTGCCCTGAAGCACATTTTCTTTCCATTAGCACTTGGAACCCAGCTCCCTCATGATGGGAAAGCAGGTGGATTTCCCATCAAATTTGACAAACATGGTGGTATGTCTCTCCTGGCATCTCTTTTCATCCCGGGACCTTTCACCACTATCCACCCTCTGAGCATTGACCCCAAAAGAAGAATGTTCTAGATGCCTTCAAGTGGGGGTCATCAGGGGAGGGGGTCCATTCAAGCAGCACCAGCGAAGCCCTAGGGAGACTGAGCCTGACTCTGCTGGGCTTTTCCACCCATGTGTGCCCAGACTTGGGCTGCTTTCTCCCATTCCCTCACCCCATTGCTTCATTGGGGTGTCTCCCCTCATTCAATACAGGTTCTGGGGAAGGAACTGTGTTTCTACTAATATTAGCACGCTCAGAGGGAGAGTGTTGACCACATGGGCACATTGGGCATCATTAGCATTGTGCGTACATTAGCTCATTAATTTTCTCAATGGCCCCAGGAGGTTGTGTTAGGATTATTGTCCCTGTGTTACAGATAGGGTTCTGGGCAGAGAGAGGGGACGAGTGTCCATGGTCTCGTAACTAGGAAGTGGCAGACCTGGGATTTGGATCCAGAGCCTGGCCCTGGGTCCATTCTCTTGGCAACTGTGCTACAGTCTTCCTTATACTCGTGGGCACATGACTGATGGGCACTTAGAATGACACCCCGTGGCCTTCCCATCCCTCAGAGACCCAGAGAATTTATATCTTAACAGTTTTGCAAGGGGACAATCCCTGCTGTGAGGCACCAGGCATCCCATGGTAGAGGGAGCAGCTATTGTGGTCAGGAGGAAAGAGTAACCCCCAGAACCCCTGAACGTCTCAGAGAGGCACACGCTGCTCAATCTGGGTCCGGGTTCTCAGCCACCTCTGAGAGTCCCAAATGGGGGGTGGGGTGGGGACAGGAGTAAATTTTCAGTTCAACCTTCCACTCTAATAATAATAATAACCTTTCTCAGCTCAGTTCCCTTCGGTCTCTGGATTGGGGTCCACGACGTCTGGGTCATGAAGACCCTTCTCACTGACCCTGTTCCATCCCATCCCCCTTCTGAGATATTGTCAATACCGACCTGCCCTGCAGTGACCTACGATGACCCGAGGTGCGCCCAGCCAAGGCTGTCTTCCCTGTGCTTAGCGCTTTACTCTCTTGAGATAACAGATCTTTGAAATAATTCAGCAAGATGTGTTAGACACTAGCCCATCCTTAAAATGAGTGAATTGGGCCCAGAGAACTCCAGTGAATCATCCCAGGTCACACAGCAGAGCCCAGACTACAACACACGTCTCCAAAAGGTGACCTCCACGCTGCCCTCGCTGGGCGCTTTCATCAGAGGAAAGTCCACTTGCTCACGGGGTTGACCCTGCAGAGGTGAGGGGAACACTGCGTGAGCCCCACCTTCCCCCAAGGACTCCTGGTAACTGACATGCACGTTATTTGGGGGTCTCAAAATCCTGACAGCACAGACAGGGCTGGCACTAGAGGCCAATCATCTATCATCACTGGATAGAGTTACAAGGGTGTTTCAGTGAATTTTACTTAATATTTAAAATAATGTGAATCCCAACCAGGTGGCCAATGCTTGTCCCACTACATTTCTAAGGAAATCTGATGGGTTGGTCCAAGGTCCTGCTGGATATTCCTTCCCCCTTCCTTGAAATTAAAACATCCGAGGGAAAAACTGGCCTCTCATCTTTTCTTATTCTCCTTGGGCTTTTGTCTTCCAAAGTGAAAAACCAATATAACTAGACCTGAAGTTTCTGCAAAAATCTGCTCTTTGAAAAACATCAACCAACCAACCAACCTCCCCATCGCCAGGCTAGCACTCAGTGCAGCCCTGCCCGGAGATGAGGCCAACATTCTGATGGGTTCTCTGCAGACAGAGCACAGGTGCCCTGAAGTTTCTGCAAAAATCTGCTCTTTGAAAAACATCAACCAACCAACCAACCTCCCCATTGCCAGGCTAGCACTCAGTGCAGCCCTGCCCGGAGATGAGGCCAACATTCTGATGGGTTCTCTGCAGACAGAGCACAGGTGCAGAGGCCCCAGGTGTGGTCGTCCGGCTCAGGTGTCAGCCCCAGTCACAGCCACCTGCAGACGTGGCAGGAGCTTTGCTTACCTGAGACAGGCCCCAACAATGGGGATCCTGTTCCTCTCTGCATCTGGGAGTGGCTGCCCTTTTATTTGGGGCATGACCTGTCACTGTCCAGTAAGCATGGAAGTCACGTTCTCAGGTTGATTGTACTCCCCACTGTCCACACCTCAGGGGGTTTCCTGTATTTTCTTTCCTGCATGCAGACTGACCCAGGTGACTTCCTTCTCCACACAGGTCACCATGAGTCCAGCTTGGTCTTCATTCATTGAGCATTAGCAAGAGTCTCTTCCATGCATGCCAGTACTCGGACGAGCCCCAGAGATGATGACAACAGCCTCCGCCTGCCCCAGGACAAGCATCACACACAGGCAGATGATAGGCTGTTGGAGAGTGGGACAGAGAGCTGGGGGTGCCTGAAGCTCCAGACACAGATCCTCAAACTCATCACCCAGGCCACCTCCACAACCCCAGACCTCCCAACCTTTGACCATCCAGACCGATCCATGTGACTTTTGGGGCTTGTTCACCACCGACAGCCATTACCCAACATACTCTGTCAATTACATAATAGTTCACATTTTCGAAGATAATTGACAGTGCTTTTGAAGCTCTTATTTAGAAATAGACCAGTCTTATAACTATATTGCTAATGTTGTATTTAGCAAATGTATATGCTCTTTAACTTTTCTCCTACATACCAGAATATTTTTATTTACATCACAGTAACTCAAAAGGCACCCTACTAAAATGAAAATTTTTCTAAGTAGAAATAACATGATATATACATATCACTATTTTATATTTTTCCAAGTACCTTCACAGCCATTTATTTGTTTATATAATCCTACTACTGGGGGAGGTGCCATTTACCATTACACAGTGAGAAACCAGAGAAGGAATGCATGAGTTGTATACTTCAGGTCACAAAATGAATTAACAAGGAAATGCATAAAAAATCTAAGTATTTCAGTCTATAATTTTCTCCCTTACACTTTAAGAGATACTGCTTTTTACTTTATTTGAAACACAGAATTATATTAGGTAGCTAATACCTGAAAGTATAGTGTTTTCCTTTGATGACCTTAGATGGAATTATGACATGGTTCTAGTTTTTAATTCGTGAGATTAATTGGGTTGAATGTAATTAACTGTCCTTTATAGGAAACATTTTGGGGAAAAGGAGCATTTTGATTTGTTGGATGCTTTCAGAGTTAGTAAAGGATTTGTGGATAACTGATTTCAAGCAAGTAGAATAAATTGCACGTGATGCTGAAACATGACTCGCTGTGCTGGGTGCTGTGTTTGGTTGAGGTCCCATCACACCCTCATGAGCACCCGCGGGGGCCGGCGCTGCACCAGCCACTCTGGGGAGACCTGGAAAACATCTCCGGTTCTCCCTGAGTCACACCCATCTGTCTCGATGTCTGCTCAGTCTTTTCACTTGCCTTTCTTGAAAAAGAGCATGAAATATTCAATAAATCCAGGTGTTGAGCCCCACGACTGTGTTGCTTTTTGGATTTTAGATAAAGTACTCTACATGTATTTTAAAATCCCGTCTTTCAGATTTCATCTACAGTTTTCATATAATCTCAGTAAGCCTGCTGTGTCCATTCATTTGTTTTCTGTGATCATGAAAACTTGGTATCTCTAGTCTCTTCTTTGACAAATACTTCCTGAGCACTCACAGCGTACCAGGTTCTGAACTCAATGCTCTGGAAAAAATGGTGAGAGAAGTAGACCAAGCCCTGCTGTCATGGAGCACATGGTCTTGTGGGGGAGGGAGACACTCAAATCAATAGGTGATGGGAGCCGTGGTATGTTTTAAGAGGGATGAGTGCATGTGTGCTGTGAGATGTCCCTGACCTGGTCCATCCATCTACCCACCTAACTATCCACCCACTCACCCACCCATCCACTCAACTATCCATCCACCCATCCATCCATCCATCCATCCATCCATCCATCCATCCATCCATCCATTCATTTATCCATCCACCCATCTAACTATCCACCCACCCATCCATTTATCCATTCAACCATCCGTCCATCCACCCTCTCATCCACCCATCCATCCTTCCTCCATCCATTCATCCATCCTTCATCCATCCATCCATTTGTTTATCCATTCATTCACCCACCCACCCATCCACTCAACCATCCATCCACCCACTCAACCATGGAATGTTTATTGAGTCCCAGTTCTTATACTGACTTTAGGAAGACAAGAAGAAGAAAGTAGAGTCCCTGCCTTCAAGTATTCACAATCCATGTGAAGAAAAAACCCTGTGAATATTACATGCAGTAAATCCAGGGATGGCTTGGGAGGCATTGGGAGGGGGAATCCAGAAAAATTCATGTGTGCATGTGGATGTGCACATGTTTCTTCAATACAAGGGCTTTGGGATGCCACTGCATGACTGCTGCTGTGTAGGAATATTCTCAGAAGCTTAAGTCTTCCAATCCCAGGCTCTTTCTTCTGGCATGGCTCAAGGAATTAAATCCAAAGCATATTGAAACCCAAGGAAGGGAGGGACCCAGTGTGGCCTGCTGGGCACCTGTGGAGGTTGCTCACTGCTCCCCAATGCAGATGTCACCCCTAGGGTTGTGCAGTGCTCAACCTGTAAGGCCAGACATAGGAGCTTTGGAGCCTCCCCAGAAGATCCCTTCACAAATGGGTTGGCCCTCAGTGCTCCTGTCTGTGAAAGGGAGGGGACTGTGTGAGAGCTACACACATACTTTGCAGATACTTTCTTATTCAGTCTTCATTCTGTCTTCCAGGTGTGATTATTTTCACTTTGAGAGATGGAGACCATAAAGACGTTATGCAACTTTTCCAAAGTCAAACAGCTGGCAAGTGGAACAGCTAGAATTTAAACCAAATCCATCTGCTCATAAAGTCCACACTACCCTCTGCCTCCTGCAGGAATGGGAATGAGGGCTTTTGTGGACCTGGAAACTCAGAGTAACTGAGATGTAAAGAGACAGCTCCAAGCTCCCTAAGGCTGGTGGGGCTCAGCCCGCTGGGGTTCAGGGTCCCTGATGGTTCTCATGTTCAGACACCACCGGGGGCCCCAATTTTTTTGGCCCAGAATCCCAGGCTGCAACTCACTCTGCCATGGAGGGCCTGATGGAGGTGGGAAATCACCAGGGCTTTCTGCACACCCTCTGGCCAGGGCCGCATCTCTCCATGACAGCCACTAGATGGTGGGATAAGCCAGGGTCCACATCGGGAGCTGTAAGATCCCTTTGTTTCTGCTGCTACCACAGCCCTGGCTTCTCCTGTTTGTTGTCTTTCCCCCGACTCTCTTGTCTGTGAGCAGAAGTGAATCCGAATTGTTCCGCAGGCCTGCAGCATCCCAGGGTGCGTACTGGGTGGTGCCCTGCAGGCCCTGTGGACCACTGAGAAAGTGACGCTGGCCCTCAGGGTGGGACTGGGCGTCGTCTTCACAACAATGAGTTATTTAGTCATGAGGGATGGACGGCGTCTGTGTGGGCCATGCAGAATGGACATCTGCTCTCCCACGAGGATCTCCCAAGACAGGGCAATGCCTTCTCTCTGCCCCTGCAATGCCCAGGGAAACACTTGCGGCTCAGGAGAGCACCTCGTGTCTGTGGGAGGGACGCAAGCGCTGCTCAGATAAAGTCTCCCAATGCTGGGCGACACCCTGTCTATTTTGGAAGGGACAGAATCCACTAAGGTAGCTGAATAAACAACAAAACCAGAAGTGAATATTCAGGCAGGTGATGCTCATTGTGAAATATTAAACAAGAGGGACTGGACAGAGGCTTCCCACTCCTGCGTTCTTCCATGACCAGGTTGTTTAAACCCCCTTCAGTCTGAGTCTGTCCTGTCCCTGGGAGGAGCATGTTACATTTTTGTTGTTTGCTCCCACACCCTTCCCCTCACCATGCCCCATCCTTCCTGGGGAAGAGGCTGCAGTAGGAGCCGGGTGAGTGGGTGAGTGGGTGAGCCTCCTCACCTGTCCAGAGGTGCCGTGTTCTGCAAAACAGGCCATGTGGAAGGTCGCTGTAAGGACCAAAGACACCGCCCACCAAGGGCCCAGCACGCAGCATTTAAGGTGAAGAAACAAACACCGCTGGGGATGTTGCAGGGGCGGGGTGCCCCACAGACAGCCAGAGGCTACTTCCAAGCAGTGCAATGATCCCAGGCTCTACTCTCGGTGCTGCCAAACTTGTTACCTATGCTGGGCGCTCATGCCTCCCTGCACATGCACAGCCACCGCGAGGTCCCCAGGCTCCCGCATGGGGTGGGGATGGAGAGGCCTGGCATTCATCTCTTGGCAGGTTTAAAACTGCGGCATGAATGTCATCACTCAGCAGATGAGGCTTGATGGGTCTGCTCCCCCCTGGCGCCGCCAGCTTCTGTGTGACCCAGGGCTCAGCCCCTTGCCCTGTCTGGGCTCAGACACCTGGGTGGCAGATGCTGGATGGTTGGTGCATGGGTGCCATGGGGGCCCCACTGTGGCACACACAGGTGGAGCCTGTTCCTGGAGACGGGGCAGGAGAGCCCATGAGCCAGGGGTTTCAAGGCTGACTCTCTGAGGCACGATCCCACACCAGGGGAGGGTCTGTATGTGAAACAGAACTTCCTTGTAACAAGACAGTGGGACGGTTTCGCCCGGGTGAGGACTGAAGGGTAGAGGCAGCAGCCACGGGTTCATAGATCTGAGCAGGACTGGCTATTGTGACCCACTTGGGAAGGGAACGGGGGCAGCCAGATGGGGTTCTGGCCCGGACACAATTCTGAGTCATCCTGGGTCCAAGCGCGAGCAAAGCCACGGTTGGGTGAGGGGGGCGTGGGGCAGACACCTGAAGGGGAATGGGCCACGTGTCCACACTGAAGGGAGGCCACGGGCCCAGAGGTGGCCCTCCACAGGACTGCTGAGTCCTGGTGGGGGGCACAGATCATTCTCCTCATCAGATACTGCAGATCCTTGCTTTGCAAGGTCCTGGACACAGTCAATCCTGATGGAAAGAATGCAACTGACAGTAAAGGCTTCACCTGGAAGTTCCTCTGCCCCCATAACAGCTAGAGTTTGCATCCCACAAGGCCACGTGGGATGCTGGCATCAGGGTGGTGTTAAGATGAAGGGCATGGGCTTCGTAGTCTGAGAGTTTGGGGGTCAAATCTCAGTTCTGCCACATGGGGCATGTCACCTGATCTCTCTGAGCCTCAGTCTCCTCACCTTGTCGGTTGGGGAGCTTCAGGCCACAGTAATGGAAACACCAGGCCCAACAGGCTTTAAGGATGAAGACAGTCTGTGGCCTTTTGCAATGAGAAGTCCAGAGCAGGGTGGGCCTCAGCCAAGGCTCACTCCCGCAGCTCTCAAGGATCCAGGTTTTGTCTGTCTTTTGCTCTGCCTTCCAAGGTTTTAGTTCAACCTAAAGCTTCCTCTTAGTCTCCAAATAGCTGCTAACAGTAGTCAGGACTAAACGCTCATTCATTTGTATCCAGCTGAGGACAGAACGGGTCTTGCCCCAACTACTGATCAAAAAGGCTGGGGTTATCTTTTGACTGAAACATCCTAGGTGATGTCCCCCACCCTGAGCCTGTCATTCTGGCCAGGAGGGTGCCATGTGCTGCCGGGCTAAGGCCTGGGCCCCAGCCTACCTCTGAACCATTTGCTATATCCAGGGGCTGCTATTATGCTGGTTGGCTTCAGCCCATCAGAGGCCATGGAAAACTGACACACAAATGAAAGAGACCAGGCACCACGTTCCAGAACCATCCACCCAAGCCTGCACCCAGCAAAGAGGAGAGGTCAGGAGTTTG